GGCAAACGGGGTTGTGTTTTTTAAAAAAAACTGAAATGTGCGCATGCTCTATTGGGTGCTTGTGCGCATCCATGGAGACTTGGGGAAAAAACTTTTTGCAAGGGGACATGGGCAGGCGCCGGAACTACCACCGGAAATGTGATCAGATGCCCACCCTTGCCCCGCGGTTTCTGGAAACTAGTACCTCCGAGGTACTAGTTTTTTACCCCGCATCTTCGGCGGGAAGCCTCGGGTACACCATGGGAGTTCTACGCTTCCCGGATGTGGCAGTGAGATTGCACCCGGAAAATCCACCTATCTTTGGTCTCTCTAGCGTGCCTAATGCTCTGTGTGACCGGGGCCAGAGTTAATCCACAAAGCAGTGCGCAAGCGTTCCTGTTCTCCAGAATACCTTCTTAGGTGGGATGTTAAAATAAAAGGCTTCTCTATGTGAAAAGTTCTCTTTGAGCTCTCTAGTTCTACAGGAGAAGGGGCGGTTAGAAGCTCTCTCTCTCTCTCTTCGCTGAGTTTCTGCTTATCATTAGTTTTGTTTTATTCCGGGCCAGAGTTAATCCACAAAGCAGTGCGCAAGCGTTCCTGTTCTCCAGAACACCTTCTTAGGTGGGATGTTAAAATAAAAGGCTTCTCTATGTTAAAAGTTCTCTTTGAGCACTCTAGTTCTACAGGAGAAGGGGCAGTTAGAAGCTCTCTCTCTCTCTTTTTGCTGAGTTTCTGCTAATCATTAGTTTTGTTTTATTCCACAGTGGTATACCACCACCTCATTCAGCTGCATCTGTTGATCCATCTTCACACATAGAAACCCTACATCTCCATAACCTTGACATAATCATCATGGACAAGTTGTGTTTTGTTTTGAAGATAAAGCCGTTATTTTTATTCTCGGCCCATAATATTCTCAAGAAGTGGGAGGGTTTTTCTACAAAAAGAGCCCTGCACAGTGGTATACCACCACCACATTCAGCTGCAGCTGTTGATCCATCCTCACACATAGAAACCCTGCATCTCCATAACCTTGACTTATACTATAATGAGGAAAGGTTTGCAAAGACAGAAGACACTAAAGGTAAAGGTAAAGGTTCCCTTGCTCGAAAGCCAGTCGAGTCCGACTCTAGGGTTGCGGTGCTCATCTCCATTTCAAAGCCGAAGAGTCAGTGCTGTCTGAAGACGTTTCAGTGGTCATGTGGCAGACATGACTAAACACCAAGGCGCACGGAACGCTGTTTCCTTCCCACCAAAATGGTACCTATTTATCTATTTGCAATTTCTTGCTTTCGAACTGCTAGGTTGGCAGGAGCTGGAACTAGAGACGGGAGCTCACTCCGTCATGTGGCACACTCGGGTCTCGAGCTGCTGAACTGCCGACCTTCCACAGCCTGCAGTTCAGCATAGCAATAAAAAGCAGGTGATGATTGCAACAAACATCGGAACAGATTACAACACAGCCAGCCTCCGGAGCTGACCCTTTGCAAGAACATTTCTGCGGCTGATCAGCAAGATGGAAATGGGAAGCTATTCGTGTTGCCCAAAAAGCCCGGGGGGGGGGGGGGGTTGATGCTAAGGGGCCAACAC